TGATCAGAGAATTTCATTGAGAGTCTTGAGAGAAAAAGCAACGTGAGAAAACAAAAAGGGATAACCACCACTATATATATGTAATCCAAGGGGTGCAACTCTCCATCAAATTAACTCCCCTATATTTGCACTCAAGTCCCTCCAGAAATTATAGGGACCAAAATGCAATAATGGAATAATATTAATAAAAATTATATATGTGTAAATAAACATACAAATAATCAAGGACATAATTTATAGGATTCCAACATTCTCTCACTTGGCCGAAAGATCATTTGCATATTTAACATAGAGACATATAGCCTGATGGTATCTATAAGTTTGTCTGAAACAAAAGTTATTGTGCATACTAAAACAAACAAATAAATAAGGACAAACTTTGTTTGAGGATAAGCAAATTACTGCGCTTTAAAATAGTACATAAGTTACGTAAATTAATTATATATTGAGTATAATATTACATCATACAAGATCTTGTTGTAAACCCATTTTGACGACATGTTCGGTGAACACCTTAGGGGGTAGACCTTTCGTGAGTGAATCTGCTAGCATATCATGTGTACTCACATACTCAATACTAATGTTTCCTTCCTCAACTCTTTCTCGCACAAATAAGTATTTTGTGTCAAGATACAATCCTGCACCACTCGAACTGTTACTGTTTGAGAAACTAACAGCTGCATTGTTATCGCAATAAAGCTTCAATGGCCTTGATATAGAATGTACAACTTTAAGTCCACCTATCAAATTCCTCAATAGCATTCCATGACAACTTGCATGATAACAAGCCACATATTCCGCCATCATAGTCGAGGTAGTCGTCAATTGTTGCTTACAACTCCTCCATGAAATCAGCCCTTATGATAGCATGAAAATGTATCCTGATGTGGATTTCTTATCATCTTTGCATTTAGCGAAATCGAAGTCTGAATATCCTATTACCTCAAGATTATCCGATCTCCGATACGTTAGTTTGTATCCTTTTGTCCCTTGTAAATATCGTAGGACTTTCTTAGCACCTTTCCAATGGTCCAAGCCAGGATTTGATTGATATCTCCCCAGCATACCGGCCACATAAGCAATGTCTGGTCGGGTACAAACTTGAGCATACATAATGCTTCCAACTACAGAGGCATATGGAATTAGTCTCATTTGGGCAAGTTCTTCCTCGGTTCTAGGACATTGATAAGCCCCAAAATTATCACCTTTGACGACGGGAGCCACTGAGGATGAGCAATATTGCATATTGAAACGATTTAATATCCTCTCAATGTAGGCCTTTTGGGACAGACCCAATATTCCATGATCACGGTCTCGGTGAATTTCTATTCCTATCACATAAGAGGCTTCACCGAGATCCTTCATGTCGAAGCTCGCAGATAGAAAATGTTTAGTATCATACATGTCCATATTATTTCCTGCCAGTAGGATGTCATCAACATAAAGTAGTAATATGATGAATTTGCTCCCACTCATCTTAAGGTATATGCATTGATCTACTTGGTTCTTTGTGAAATGATTAGTTTTCATCACTTCGTCAAATTTAAGGTACCATTGACGTGGCGCTTGTTTTAACCCATAAATTGATTTATTCAATTTACATACCAAATGTTCTTTCCCTTTGGCTTTGAAACCTTCAGGTTGTGACATGAACACACTTTCATGTAAGTCACCATTAAGAAATGCAGTTTTGACATCCATTTGGTGAAGCTCCAAATCAAAATGAGCCACCAAAGCCATTACGATCCTAAGAGATTCCATTCTCGATACGGGTAAGAAAGTTTCATTATAATCCACGCCTTCCTTTTGATTATAGCCCTTTGCGACCAAACGAGCCTTATAACGTTCAATGTTTCCATTTGGGTCTAACTTTGTTTTATAGACCCACTTACAACCTATTGGTTTAGCACCTTCAGGTAATTCAGTAAGCGTCCAAACATTATTTGTTTTCATGGATCTTAACTCCTCTTCCATGGCTTCATGCCATTGAGTTGATTGGTTGCATGTGATGGCATCATGGAAAGTGGTCGGATCGTCGTTCTTCCCTAAGTCAAAATCAGCTTTGTGTAGGTATGTGACAAAATCATCATAATTAGTGGGTCGTCTAGAACGTTGTGACCTTCGTAATGCCGGTTGAAGTTCTCGAGGTTCATCATTATAAACATCATTAGAAGCTTCATTGTTTGGTGCTTGATCAACCTCGGGAATATTAGTTGTCTCGTTTTGAGATTCAATATTTTCATTCGAGGTATCAAGTGGCATGTGAATAGATACGGGCACATGTAAAGTAGGTGCCTCTTCATATTCCTATTGAAAATCTATAGATCTTCTAACATCGCTCCCACTGATGTTTGAGTTTTCAAGAAACTCGGCATGTCGCGTCTCGACAATTCTAGTGGTATGTGAAGGGCAATAGAAACGATATCCTTTTGAATGTTCGGGATATCCTATGAAATAACAACTAATAGTTCTTAAGTCCAATTTTCGCGATTGAGGATTATATAATTTTGCCTCAGCCGGACAACCCCACACTCTCATATATCTTAAACTCGGTTTCCTTCCTGTCCATATTTCATATGGTGTTTTAGGAACAGATTTGGAAGGGACTCGAATGAGTATGTGGACGGCTGTCTTTAGTGCCTCGGTCCATAAAAAATCTGGGAGACTTGTATTAGCCAGCATACTTCGCACCATGTCCATTAATGTACGGTTTCTCCTTTCAGCAACACCATTTTGTTGTGGAGTACCAGGCATGGTGTATTGGTTGATTATCCCATTACTTTTACAAAATTCATAAAAGGATCCGGGACTTTGACCTAAATCGGTATGTCGGCCATAATATTCACCTCCTCTATCCGATCTTACAACCTTTATCTTCTGGTCAAGTTGATTTTCAACTTCGACCTTAAAGGTCTTGAACATCTCTAATGCATCAGTTTTTTCATGGATAAAAAATAAGTACATATAACGCGAATAATCGTCAATAAAAGTTATAAATGATTTTTGACCTCTAATTCCCGCCGGGAAAGGACCACAATTATCAGTATGGACTAGCTCAAGCAATTCCATACTTCTAGTAGATCCTTTCTTATTCCCTTTGGTTGTTTTTCCCTTAATGCATTCAATACACTTTTCAAAATCCGAGAAATCAAGATTTGGTAAAACTTCATCTTTCACAAGTCTTGTCATTCTCTCTCGTGATATATGGCCCAAATATTATTCCACAACATTGATGAAGTTTCTAAATCTCGTTTTCTCTTATTCTTCCTTACATTATCACAAACATTTAAAGACAATAAGGATTCCGAAAATTGGTTATCCAAACATAATTTATAAAGGTTTCCCTCTAGACAACCATAACCAACAACATTCAAATACAATCTTATTATACATTTATTATCACCAAATGTAAAATAGTATCCATAGTCATTTAATTTAGAAACAAATATAAGGTTTCTAGTAATACTTGGTACATATAGAGTTTCACACAGTTCTAATGTCGGACTACCTTCTAGTACTATTGAAAGTGTACCAACTGCTTCAACTCCCAAATCCAAGCCATTTCCGACTTTAACCGTCCGTTGGTTTCTTTCCAGCTTCCTTATTGTACGGAATCCTTGTAAAGAATTTTAAATGTGTACCATGGAACTGGAATCAATCCACCATGTATTAGAAGGTACATAAACATTAAGTGATTCACAAATCATGAAATTAGAGGTGTTACCTTTCTTCGCAAGCCATTCCTTAAACTTTGGACAATCACTTTGAGTATGTCCCTTGTTAAGACAGAATTTACATTTGAGAATTCCGTGGAATGTACTTGTATTTGCACCGGTGTTAGGAACCTTGTTCGGAGTGAATTTATCTCCCATCTTTCCTTTGCCCTTCGGGAACCCCTTCCTTTTCTTAGAGTCGGTGGTAGTAAGATGAGCGACATCGAGTTTTTCAACTTTTAATCATTCTTCTTCTTGGACACACATGGCAATTAGTTCGCTCATCTTCCATTTCTCCCTTTGAGTGTTGTAATTGATCTTAAACGGACCAAACTGAGAAGGGAGAGATGTCATTATGAAGTGGACGAGAAAGCCTTCACTAATTTCCATGTCCATACTTTTGAGTTTGTTTGCCATATCACTCATCATCATTATGTGCTCACGCACACCACCGACCCCATTGTACTTGGTAGTCAACATTTTAATGATCAAGGTACTAGCATGGGCCTTTGAAGTCCCTTTAAATTGATCCTCTACAGAGTTAAGGTATGTTTTGGCATCTTCGGAGTCAGGGATGGCTCCTCGGATGGCAACAGAAATGGAATTTTTAATGATCATAAGAGACATTCTGTTTGATCGATCCCATAATTCATATGCCCTTTTTTCATCCAGCAAACTTTTGTCGGTAAGGGCAGCGGGTCGTTCTAGTCTCAAAGCATGATCCAGATCCATAACTCCAAGAGTCAATTTGACTTGATCTATCCAAGTGTTGAAGTTTGTACCAATTAGGGGTTCAATTCCGGATAAATATCCGGAATTTGTAGTTAAAGTAGATGCTGCCATAATAGTATAATTAAATGCATGCCCGCATTTATAAGATGATACTATAATTTATAATTCATAATACAAGGTATTAAGCATATCAATAAAATAAAATTAAGCCTATTTAAAACATACAAAGCATAGGCGATATTAACATTATACTAGATTACTGATCTCTCATTGGATCAATCAATAATTTAGTGTAATATCTCATAAAAAACTACGCATACATATCTTTCACTTAGTACCGTTGGGTAAACAATGTAATAGATAGGCAAATCATGCTAAAATTCCATCATTTTAATCATCTAATAGGTTTCCGTTGGGTCTCCTAAATTTCAATCTAAACAATGTATTATATATTTATTTCACTTATTCCGGATAGGTTCTCGTTGGTTTCACTATCCAAAATAAATTTAATCTTGATTAACATAACAATTTTAAGTATAAATTATAATACATATATCACCATTGTTATGCATTGTCATGATTGTTGGAGAAACAATCAAAATACATATATAAATATATAAGAAGGCATATCAGTCATGTTACTAGGATGTAAAGTGCCCAAAGCGATGTCAAAAGGATTTGCAGAGATCATAATACAAATATTCATATCTCATAAGGGCACATAATTCAAATTCAGAATGAGGCATATAATTCAAATTTGGAATTCACAGAGGCATAGAATTACAAAACTAAAACTTACAGAATCCAAATTTGCAATTCACTTTTCTTCTTCTCATTCGATTAGTGCTGTGTGTTTTTCAAATATCAAAACTCACCAAATTCATCAAGTATTGAGAGACTTCTAGAATTATTAATTAAAGAATTATTAATTAAATATTGAAATAGAATTGGAAGTCATACATGTAACGAATTCACGTATTATTTATAAAAAAAATACCCATCGTTGTAGATTTGTTTAAGTTAGGGTTTATCATAATTAGGGCAAATCATGCATATATCAAGAACATTGCACTGATACCACATGTTAACTTAATCCCAAACATATGCATAAGAATCCCTAATCAAACATGTGAATTCATTAATACAACAAATTAAGTAAAACTTACTTGGTGGAGT